TGACATTTGCTTAATACCGGACTATAAAAGAAAATAGTCAATATAAGCGAAAATTCGAGTCCCAGGCAGCAGTTCGGAATAAGTAAAGCAATCGTTGGAACAATGGCTTTATTCGTCTGACGCTTCGGATTCGTGCTGGAACCCATCACCAGGCAGCATCAAATACGGGTACTTCATGCAGAGATTTTTCTGGTATTCAGAGAATGCAGTCACTATGATACCACATACATAGGCAAGTCAACAGATCCTATCACCACATAGGGGATGGTTTTCCTTGATGTATTGATTGCTTGATGGCGGCATTCGAGTCGTTAGCTGGTGCAATTTCATCAAACTTGTTGGATATTGACGTGATGGTTACTCAACACCCTGGATCACTGAGGCTGGCTTTGTAAACAGTGTTCGCACGCGCGCTACCCGGGTGAATAAGTGCACTGCCCAGGCTAAGTTTCAGCAGGGGGGGGGGTTCATTGCCCCTGCTAACGGACTGGGGGCCAGTGAACCATGACTCAAACAGCTCGCGGCCCGCGGGATTGTCGACTCGCGAGTTTCGACCTCGTCGAACTTCGGTGCATGGCTCGGTTCCATCGACTGATCCGCAACTTGGGAGCAGGCGTCATTTCTCCGCACTGCTGCCGCGAGTTATGTCATTCGCGTCCAAACCAGTCTTCCATTCTCTCCGACGTATTAGCTTTACCCACGACCGCGCTCGATCCAATGAACGACTTCAGACAAAAGTTGTGCCAGCAAATTAAATCTCCCGATATTCTTACATATGAAAAATGAGATGAGCAAATTGGGACCATTAATCCCCTTACTACTCAACTACGTGGCGAACAAAAATATGAAACTTCCGGTTAAAATAGAAGAGGGAGAGGATGATGAGGAAGAAGACGACGAAGAAGAAGAAGACGAAGAAGAAGAAGAAGAAGAAGAGGAAGAAGAAGAGGAAGAAGAAGAAGACAAAGAGGAAGAAGAAACAGAATAAGAAGGAGAAGGAGGAGGAGGAGGAGGAGGGGGAGG